TCACACACTTTCTTAGGCAGTTGCCCCTCACAGCTGCTGCTTAGGTAATGTTCAGGATGAAAAGGATAAGGTCTTATAGGCCTATTTCAAAAATTCAGAATTCCAACCTGCCTGTTCCTGGACATGATGGTTCTTTCTTTCTCCTAATGGCAATTCCAGGCTAACCTAGTTGGTAAGCCTTCTGAATAGTTCCCAAACAAACTTAATTCCAGTTTAAATGCCTGAATTCTCTTCTTGGACTGACTGGTATTAGACTGTAGAGATAATAACCATTTGGATGAGTGTACTGCTTGTCCAATTCCCCTAAGCAGGTCCATGTGAGCCAAAGTAGAGGCACAGTGGGTCTCTGCAAATTTATAAAAATGCTTTGTTTCTCTTTTACATGATCTTTTTGCACAAAAGGTCAAGGTGTGGATAGGGGGTGACAGCAAAAATGGTGAATTATAGCTACTGGAATAGGAAACACTGGTTTTGTAGTTATGGTGACAAAACAACTACCCCACATCTGAGGTTAGAGCACCTTACTCTTATAGCACTGTCCCTGGAACTTTCTTCACAAAGAAAATGCTCTGGTAAGATTCTCCCAAACTATTTCACTAAGAATAGAATTGTGATAGTTATTTTCTTTCTATTGATTGAAAATGACTATGATTTTCAGGTGTATTGTTGTCAGCATCTTATTTGTCTCTTAACTGTCATTAAATTTTTACATTATCACCTTTTCTTCTCTGAAAACTTCTAAGATTTTCTTAGCCTTAAGTGTTCTGGAATAACACTATAAATGAATCTAGGTATGGGTTTCTCTTAATTTCCCTGATTAGAATTTGTTAAACTTCACAAAATTACATACCATCTTTTCATTTCTGAGAAAATTTCAGTGATTATCTCTTTATATTTAGCCTCTACACCATTTTCTCTTCTCCTTCTATAACACCAATTAATGTATATTAGAACTACTCACTCCACTCTCTCTGTCTTAACTTTCCTCTATATTTTCCATCTTTTAAGTTGGTTGTGTAAAAGGTTGGATAATCTCTTCTAATATATCTTCCATTATATTAATATTCTTTTCTAGTTGTTTCTAACCTGCTATTAAACTTGTGTTCAGATCTCTCAATGGCACAAACAGCTTCTGCTCAGCTACTAACCAAAAGATTTGTGGTTTGAATACATTCACAGACACTGCAGAAAAAAGACCAAGTGATATAATTTGGTAAGATTACACTGAAAATTATATGGAATGCATTTCTACTCTGACATACATGAGGTCTCCATGAATTAGAATCAACTCAACAGCCAACAGGCTTTCTCTTTTCTAACTTTACCCATTCTAACATTTATTTCCAGAAGATATTACCAACTCTTTTTCAAATGTGTCATAGTTTGTAGTTTGTTGTTTACTGAAAATAATTTTAAACTCTTCTTACTTCCTTTGAGAACAAAAGCACAGTTGTATTAATCACAATATATGAACACATGAGAGCAACTTGCTGCCTATTGTTTCTGGTGATTGTCACAGGGCCTTGATTCCAGGTAGCTTATAATTTTTAACTGCTGGTGTTTGTGGAGTTTCAAAAGTTACCAAAGGAGATTCTTTGAGGCCTAAGTTATGAAGATACCTTCATAACAAGAGAATGTATTTTTGCCAAGACCTAAAGGCACTGCAAATCCAAATCATTTAAAACTAAATTCCCAAGTTAAGGGTTATTGACCACTAACTTCACATAAATTTCAGCTACCAAACAGTGCAACAGCTGACTTTTGGTACAACTCAATGACAAAAACCACTACTAATAATAGCACTTCGCAGGGCCAAAGCAACTAAACTATATTTGTAGGCAACTTCCATTAGGTCAAAGTGACTTTCAGTATTCTGCCAATTTCTGCTTTCGATTTCAGCCTTTACTGTCTTAACAAGTCGTTGATACTTTTAAGAGGACTTAAAAATACTTTTTATCTAACAGAAAAAAAAACATTTTCTAGTTATTTTCATCAAAAATTTGGTCTACATCATTTGTTGTTACTGTGTGTCACTGAAGCAATTCAGATTCATAGTGATCCAAAAGGGTAGAGTAGAACTACACTATAGGTTTTCTCTTAGGGTGTAATCTTTACAGAAGGAGATTGCTAGGTCTTTTTCCCATGGAGCCAACGGTGGGTTCAAACCACTAACCTTTTGGTTCACAGCCAAGTGCTTAACCATTACACCACCAAGGCACCTTCTAAATAACCTAGTCCACCATATTTCTTGAAATAGCTGGAGATGTGCTCTTTGTAACAATTTTAACTAGAACCTAACAAGCTAATTCAAAGTTGTTATCAGAGGAAAGCCATTTTCACAAGATGTATGACACAGACTCAAACCAGTCACTTTAATCATCAGTTAGTGTAGTTTATAAGGTACTCCCCTTGTTCCTTTATCTCTGCAATGATAACCAAGAAATATAACCAGAAGGTTGGCAGTTCAAACCCACCAGCTGCTCTGTGAGACAAGGATGAAGCAGTCTATTTTCCATAAAAATTTACAACCTTTGAAACCCAATGGGTATTACTATGAGTCACAATCAACTCAATGGCAGTGGGCTTGTTTTTTGTTTTTAATCCTGATATTAAAGAGGAATTATATTAAGAAGCATACTTTAGGACTGCTTACCTTACTTGCGAAATTTTGCCATGAAATTTAAGGATGGCTAAACAAGATTGTTTATAAGATGCAAAAAGATAAGCTTTATCTAGTAATTACATAAAAAATAATGTAATATTCCAGATCTGTAAATTCATATTAAAGTATGTCTACTGAAAAATACTAAACCAAATGATTCTATGACTTCATTTGACAAGATTTTGCCATATGAAATTGAGTTAAGAACAGTTACATTAACTTTTAAGACACATAAATTTTTCCTTTAAAATGATTCATTTTCCCTTTTGAATACAGTCCTAAACCTTAATAAAACCAATGTGAACAAATCTATTGCTACCAAATTTGTAGCTAGAATTTTCACATTCCTGCTTTTGCTACTACAATTTGATTTACATACATACTTTTTAATTGCACATTTTGCATTTAACATTCCTTTGCTTAACCGCAAATTTTGAAATGTATACCTACCAAGAAAAATGAGTAACATTTTGCAATAGCTAACTCATATGCCTCTTTTATTTCTATATATTATAGCTTTATGTGAAATTTTACTGCATATTACACTGTGTCAAATTTTCATATTGTTACCCACAATAAAAACACTTATATAAATATTTACTATTAAAAGTGCATTAAAACACAAAAAAATAAGGATAAAAAAAAACAGAAAACATTATCTAATTTTTTTTCTAAGTTGGAGAAAATTAATATCCAAAACAATACAGAACATACATATTTAACTTACCATATGCTTAAGGATAGTTTCAGTCACTTAATTAGTAATATATTTTTACTTTTAATTATCTATCTTGTGTATGTTGTTTCCAGAAAAATGAGAAAACAGACAAAATAAATTAAGTCTGACTAATATGGGATATAAGTTTCCAGTCTGTTTTCTATTTGCATTTTAATATAAATTCATATAAACAAAAAAACATAACTTTAAAAATAAAAATTCTACTGTTATACATTATAACATCTTTTTCCTATAATAATAATTTCACTTAAATATAAAATCCAACTCATGTACTATTTCTCATCAAAGATTAAGCATTATGAAGTTTAATGAATATTCAAGACAATTATTTCCCTGTTTTAAAGAAGCAAAGCCTAATCTATATAATTTTTCCAAATCCTTCAAAAACAAGCTTAATTAAAATGCTCAAAGAAAGCCTTTCCATTTTTATTTTCACTTAAAGTCACTGGTATTAAATTTTCATTTAAAGTTATATTAGTTGTAATTAAAAAGGGGAACAATGAATTTTAATTAAGTCTTACTATCTTAATATAATGTCTTACAAAGTAATTTCTACAGCAACATTAAAGACATTAAAAAGTAACACTGAAATGAAAACTAGGCACCTTTGCTAGACATAGCATTTTCAGCCATTTCTTACCATATAGTAATCTCAGATTACTTAGATAGAAATATACTACTGATACTGTTCCAAGAAAATTTATTTGAGAAAGCTGTTACATTTTGCCACTAAAAAAATTATGTTATGGTGAAAATCTAGAATCATGGTAGCTACCTATCTTTAGAAAATCATTTAATCTTAAAAGCTGAATTTCTTCTTCAGTAAAATGGAGAATGATAAGCAGTTTGCTTCCTTAAAGATTTATAGACTTGGAAATCCTAAGAGGCATTCTACTCTGTCCTGTAGGGTTGCTATGAGTTGGAATAGACTCAATGGCAGTTATGTCTGGTTTGGTTTATTACACATCTTGGAAGGAGAGAGAGGATAGAAAGGAAGGAAGGAAGGAAGAAAAGGAAGGAAAGAAGAAAAACTATAAGCATACTTACAGATATTGGGTTAGCAAACTACACCCATGGGTCAAAACTGCTAGCAGTCTGTTTTTGTAAATGATGTTTTTATTGGAAAACAGTCATGAGCACGCACTTACGCAATGGCTAAGGTTGCTGCTGTACTATAACAGGAAAGGTAAATAGTTGCAATAGAAACTACATGGTTGCAAAGCCTGAAGTACTTACTACAAAACCTTTACAGAATAAGTTTGTCAACCTGTACTATTAATGACTGGAAGCTGAATTGGACAATGCATCCAAAAGAGGACTAAGAGGGAAAAGAAATTTAAAAAATAGTAAAATATACATCTAAATTGAATCCCCCATAATGTCACTCACAAATCCCTAGAAATGTAAGCTTCAATCACATAAGAACTAGAAAATAAAAATTATGGTTACATAAAACATAAAAGCAATACAGAAGTATGTTGTTTATTTAATGCCATAAAGTATATCTTATTGCCTCTTAAAGTTAATTAAAGCCAATTATAATTTGTTATAAATGGTACTTATATCTGCTTTATACAATTTTTTTTTTTTTTTTTTTACCTGCTAATGGCTTGCTCCTCATCAGTTATTCCAGTCTCCCTGAATGCCCTGTTTGATTCGGCCAAACTCAAGGCAATTGCCCTCTGAAGATCATCTTTATCATCACCAGTGAGATCAATCACATCTGAAAAGCAAAACTATCGTTCTCAAAATTCAAAGTCAAACAAAATGAAAGGTAATTCTTATCATGGAGATTTTATATCAATATACCCTATTCAAATCAAAGCACCAATTTTATTCTATATTTTTTTTATAAGAGCCTATCCAAAGAGAATGCAAATAAACACATTTTAACTTGGTTATACTTCATAACTTAATTTTCTTTCCTATAAAATATACCTACAATAATAACAGCATAAATACTTTTCCTTGTAGAGGAATCTCAGAATTTACTGAGATCTGTGATTAGAAGTTAACAATAGACTGCTGAAAACATTTTATTTACCAATAAAAATTAAAATCCACATAATTAAATATTTATATCTGTGCTTTCTGAAATTAAAATTATATACACAATTAAAACTCTTATCAGATTTAAAAAGTATCAAATACCAAAATATTAAGATTATAGTTTTCCCATAATAATACCTAGACATTATTTATCAAATCTTAATAATTAATAACTGAGTCCTCAAAAATTATGTTTCAGAAACTAAGGGACCATACATATATATATTTATATATACATTATTTAAAGCCTAGACAAATGTGTCAAAGTGTTACAGTGGTTAAATCTATGACCTGATGAAAGAGCATTATACATGGGATGAGGAAGAATACGGATCTTTTATTTCTATTTTGTCAAGGCCACCTTGGTGGTATAAATGGTTTGTACTTGACTATTAACCTAAAAGGGAGTTCCGGTGGCATAGTGCCTAAGGCATTTGACTGCTAACCAGAAGGCTGGTGGTTCAAACTCACCAGCCACTCCTCAGAAAGAAGACTGGGCAATCTACTTCCGTAGAGATACCACGTTGAAAACCCAAGGAGGGGTCCCTATGAGTCAGAAAACGACTCGATGGCACTGAGTTTGGTTTTTTTTGATTAAGCTAAAGGTTGGCAGTTCAAATCCACCCAGCAGTTCCTCAGAAGAATGGCCTGGCAATTTACTTTACTTCCATAAAGATACAGCCAAGAAAACCCTATGTTGTTGTTGTCGTTGTTGTTGTTGTTGTTGTTATGTGCCTTCGAATCGGACGCAACTCATAGTGACCCCTCCTTGGGTTTCAGAGGTAGTATCACTATGAAAGGAAACCCTACAGGACAGATCTACTCTGTAATACGTGGGGTTACCCTGAGTTGGAATCAACTCATAGATGATGGGTTGGTTGTTTCGTTTTGTTTTTCTATTTTAAAAGAGCTGTGCCATTTGAATTAATGTAAGTATACATCCTTTTACTTTAAAATCAGATTTTTATTTTGGGTGAAATATACCAAAAAACCTAATTTTTCCTCCTCCAACTAACAAAACAGCCTTGATGCTACAAGTATTCACTCCTTTTTGTTTCAAAGAATAAATGCTATAAATACTACCACCTTCAGCAACCTAATTTTCAATACATATTGGTAAACTTTACTCTATTTTGAATCTAATCTCCAACATGTATTGATAAACTTTCTTAAGCTATAAAATGCCAATGTTACCAATCTCTCATTATTTAAACACTGATAGAGACCATAATATATTGTTAAAAAAGAAAGGGATAACAAGTTAAAATTAATGTTAGACAAAGAAAAAAATATTTCTAGTACCTTATTTTGTAATGAGTGGAATTAACGAGTGGGGCTTTCCCCCTTAATTTTTTTTTATTTGTATTTTAGATATACTAAAAATTTATTTCTTTATTTCCATTTTTAATCCTAGAATTTTACAAGGGGGAAAGAAACTAAAGGGGTAGCAGATGTGAAAGAAGGTATCTATATTTTACTATCTGGCTATAGGGTTATGTATAGTCACTAGAAACAAATAATCTGCTATTTCAATGGGAAAAAAATTATGTATATTTTGTTAGTTTCAAAAATCTACTTCTATAATAATCTATGGGAGCTCTGGTAGTGTAGTGCCTAAGGCATCTGACTACCAACCAGAAGGCTGGAGGTTCAAACCCACCAGCCACTCCTTGGAAGGAAGGTTGGGCAATCTACTTCCGTAGAGATATTGCCTTGGAAACCTAAGGAGAGGTCATTATGAGTTGAATCAACTCAAAATCTATACTTTTCTCCAAACAGTAGCTTAGAATATTAAAAATATGAGAAATAATAGTTGGCTATGGAAGATGTATGTGTGTTTTTAATGTCCTTGTTGTTGTTAATATGCTGTCGAGTCATAGTGACCCCTCCTTGGGTTTCTGAGGCAGTATCACTAAGGAAGTAGATTGCCCCATCTTCCTTCCGAGAAGTGCTGGTTAGCATAATAAAAATTTACCATAATGTAGAGTCCCCTACCAAAAAAAAAAAAAAATTAAGTAAAATGAGAAAAAGAATGATATATTAAGGCAGTTGAAATGATACAGCATGCCTACAAACAACAAGAGTTCCAGAAGTCTGCTAACAAGATCCAAGTCCACCCAAACAACAAATGAGAATGGGTGTTGCTTGTGTGTAGCCATCCAATTCAGCTCAAATAACTTATTTAGAAAAATCTTGAACTAGAGAGGTATGAAGTAGCCTCATAAAGTTGAAAACTACCATAGTCATTAAACAATAGCTAGAACTTTATAAAAGGATATTGGAATGAGAAGAAATAGGTGAAAATCAGAGAAGCAGAAAAACAGGTTTGTAAATCAGTTAGTCCTCAGACTTCATTCTCTTGTCTTCCTAGTGTGCTTTCTTCAACTACAAGATTTAAGAAAAAAATTACTCCCAGTCTCACATGTAAGGTGGATAAAACTTAGGTTCCACCAAGCAGATGTGCTCACATGAGATTTGGAAGGCAGAAGTGAAGTGGAAGCCACATCCTGCTGCTTATAGCTGTTTTCTCCAGCATGATTAAATAGATGTGGGTTGTTCCACAGAATCATTTCATTGCTAAATTTCCAGGGATGACAAGAGATTTTTACAGTAGAAGTAGCAACTGGCCTCTGCATTCCAATGTCTAGGCATAGTTCAATGACAGTTACCTAATCCTGCTTTCCTGTTCCTTGGGCTGCAGCTACGGAAGTATTTTCTTGAACTCGGTAATCCCAGAAGCAATCTCCTGATCCACTACCTTCCTGATTGTGGCAGAAGGATTAGCTTCCCTGGTTGGTCAGTCTTCCAATGATCTGGGAATCATTTTGGAAGGCAGAGCTAGAAAATATTCCTCTATTTCTTTCAGTGATTTAAGATTTTAATTCACTGTATTAAAACTCCTTCTTTAGAAAATACCCAGTGTTTACTATTTTATGACTGACAACTGAACCAAACAGCCTAGAGTAGAAACTCCTTTAAAAAGAGCAACAACTTGAGCTGTAACTCAAGCAAGATAAAAACAAAATGTCTTTAATTCTCTTTTATAAACAATATGACCAAGCTTCTTAGACCTGAGAATGGTGGTTTTTGGACCTTTTAAATAAAAAGCCCTGGTGGTAGAGTGGTTAAGTGCTTGGCTGCTAACCAAAAGGTTAGCAGTTCAAACACACCAGCCACTCCATGACAGAAGGATGCAACAGTCTGTGTCCATAAAGATTTACAGCCTTGGAAACCCTCTAAGGCAGTTCTACTTTGTTCTATAGTGTCACTATATGGCATAGAGAAAATATGACCATACTTGCAAAGATAGTGTAAAACAATCAGGGGTAAAACTGTTGCACTTTAGTACAAATCAAGGCAGTAGCACCAAATTATATGAATATTCATTATATTATTCACAACCATGAATGTTCCCTATTTTTAAAAAAAGTCAATTTCACTTAAAAATATCTTCGATCATTAAGGAAAGGTTTATATATTGAAGGACATTTTCTTTGTTGGTTACCAGGGGTGGGACGGGAGGGGAGGAAATGCTGTTAGATAGAGATAAATATTGATTTGGGTGAAGAGAAGGGCAATGTACCAAATGTGAGTGACCAATATGGCAGCATTGAGGATGAGAAAGACATAGAGAG